TTGTCTCTTATTATATGCTTTTAAAGTCTTATTTTTCTGATATAAGCATTGCTACTCCAGCTTTTGTTCTGTTTCCATCTGCATGAATTATCTTTTTCCATTCTTTTTCTTTCAGTCTGTGCACATTTTTTAATTTGAAGAGGTCTCTTATAGGCAGCATATATATGGGTCTTGTTTTCTTATCCATTTGGTTACCCTATGTCTTTTAATTGGAGCATTTAATCTGTTTACATTTAACGTGATTACTGATAGGAACATTGTTATTGCCATTTTGTTATTCATATTTGTTATTTCTATTTTCTTTTTTACCCCTTCTCTTTTTACAGAAGACTCTCTAACATGTTTTGTAATGCTGGCTTGTTGGTGTTGAATTCCTTAAGCTTTCCTGTCTGGGAAGCTTTTTATCTCATCTTCCATTTTAATTGAAAGCCTTGCTGGGTAGAGTGTTCGTGATTGTAGATTCTTGTTTTTCATTACTTTGAATATTTCTTGCCATTCTCTTCTGGCCTGCAAAGTTACCATTGAAAAGTCAATAGACATTCTAATGGGGGTACCCTTGTAAGTAACTAGCTTCCTTTCTCTTTTAAGATTCCCTCTTTGTCTTTGACTTTAGCGTTTTACTTATGATGTGTCTTGGTGTAGATCTGTTTGAATTCCTCTTGTTTAGAACTCTTTGTGCTTCCTGTACTTGTATGTCTAATTTCTTTGCCAGGTTAGGGAAGTTTTATGTCATTATTTCTTCAAAGAGATTCTCAATCCCTTGCTCGCTCTCTTCCTTTTCAGGTACTCCTATAATCCAGATACTTTTATGCTTCATGTTGTCTCAGAGATCTCCTAAACTATCCTCATTTTTTTTTTTTAATTCTTTTTCCTTTTTGTTGTTCTGATTGGGTGTATTCTGCTATCTTGTCTTTCAATTTGCTGATTTGCTCTTCTGCTTTGTCCAGTCTACTGTTGAATCCTTCTAGTGTATTCTTCATTTCAGTTATTGTATTCCTCTTTTCTGCCTGGTTCTTTTTATGGTTTCTATGTCCTTTTTTTATGCTGTCGAGGTTCTCATTGTGCTCATTCATTTTCCCCATAAGTTCATTGAGCATCCTTACAACCATTATTTTGAACTGTCTCTGGTAGTTTGCTTGCCTCCATTTCATTTAGCTTATTTTCTGGAGTTTTCTCTTGTTGTTTCATTTGTGGCATGTTTCTTTGTTTCCTCATTATATTAGCCTCTCTGTGTTAATATTGTTTCATCTCTCAGCCTTGACAAGATGGCCTAATGTGGAAGGTGTCTTGTGTGGCCCAGTGGTGCACTCTCCCTGATTCCTTATACCAGGGGCTCTGGACGTGTTTTTTGTGGGGGTTGTGTGTGATCTTCTGTTGTCACCAAACATTTATTGTTATTAGTAGATCAGTGGATGGGATTAATGCTCAGGCTGACTAATTGTGGGAATTGGCTGCATCCACAGGGTAAGAACTGTTGTGAGAAGGCTGACCCCACTGAGTGGGATTTACCTTAGCAGGTTTGTGTACTTATTGCAACCATCCTTTTGGTGTATCACTAATGAGACTAGTCAGGAGTTGCTCCGTACTGGTCTGGTGCCAGCCTCCAGATGCTTGGTTTTGTGGCCTGTTGGGAGGGATTCTCCCATAGGCCAAGGTCAGCATCTGCTTTTGATTGTTCGGGGCTATGCAGTGAGAACTACAAAGTGATATGCAGATGGTTGTTGCCTATACTGGATCAGCTTCAATATGACTCCTTTATATTAGCAGACATAGGTGTTATGATCAGCTGGACTTCAGGTGATTCTCCCCGTTGATTATTTTATAATTTGGTTGTAATTTCAATGAGAACAGGAGGCGCTGCCCACAATGTTCTCACATCCACAGGTGCCTGCTTTGAGCCACATTTCTTAACAGATATTGTGAGGATAAAATAAATGTTTATGAAGCAGCTTAGGTAGAGTTTAGCTCATAAAAGATGATGTAGTAGATGTTGCAAATTATGTTGTATCATTAAAGAAATTTTCTTGTCTAACTCTATCAGGACATCCCCAAGTTTACAATGAACATGGATGCACATCTTATGGAGAATGAATAGACTGAATTAGCCAGGTTACTATGATTTTTTCTCTTCTCTCTGATCAGCTGACTATCAGGAAGTTTAT